AAGCAAAATATTCTTCTAATATCTTTATTAAATACTTATATAACATCAACAAAAATAAACAAGAAGATTAACAATAATAATTGAAGATTTTAATACATTTATTTGTTGAAATGAATGGTCAAAAGAGTAGATGGCTTTTTCTGCCTTGCCATGTCGGTAAAATGCGACAAGACTGTCTCCGAAGCAATATTCTTAGCATTTCTTTCGGCACACCATTTTTCGTATACTTTCAATGTATGCGATATGAAATAGCATTAAAAGTTTCAATGCTATTTCATATCGCCCCCTACTTTTCTCTGGAAGTAAACTGGCTTCTGCTCTTTTTGCAGCTTCTGTAAATTCTGGGGAGTACCAACATTAAAGTAGTCTTCATTATCAGAACTTTCCGACAACATTCTGGCTTTCTATATTATATAAATTCGAAAAAGCGAACGAGAAATTCGAAACTGTCACTTAGTTGTTTGTTTTGCTGTTGAAGGTTTGCGTCATAACAACCACTGATACCGGTAATTATAGATATGGAAATGCCAAAACAGAAAGCGACAAATTTTCGCATATTTTTTTGTTCAAAATAAAATACTGTCCCTATTTTTTAATTAACGATTTGGTTGTAAATAAAATAGTATACAAACCTCGGAGGAAAGTTTTCATTATTTTCTCGAGATTTAGTTAATCTCTCGACAGTAATGAAACACTTCACTCCTCGGTATGCAATATACTATTACTTCCAGAGTTACTTCGTAAGTTTTAAGTTTTGAAAGTTATAAATGTATTTTTTTTCAAACGTCACAGAAGTTTTTGCAACGTGATTGACAACTAAGCATAAAAGTACGAAAATATATTATTAAACTAACTTGTCAACTGATTGAAATGAAAATGTCAAATTCAACGAGCATAACCATATAGTTTCTCGATATACAGGGTCGCTTTTATGTATGGAAACGGTCGATTAGGCAAAATATACAAGGTACCGCAAAAAGTTAAATAAAAAAATTACACAGCGTTTTTAAATGTCTATTGGCGAGTAATAAATTTATGTATACAGGGTCGGTCATAAAGTCGTGGCACATCAAAATTTAATTTTTTTAAATAGCATATAATAATTAATAATTCTAAGCAAAAATCGAAATACACATAATGTACATAAATTGAAGAATTGAAATGTTAAATTTAAATTTTGTAATTTCCAGAGTTGATATATAATCTCATTTTATAAATCTATAAATTCTAACATGAAAACTAATGTCAAATATTATTATTTTAAAAAAAATAATATAATATACATTATCTAATAAATAAATGTTATTTTTGTTGATATTTTGTTTGTTTCATATTTGTAGTTATGTTTTTAATGTAATGTTAAAGAATAGATATATACTGTATGCTCGAAAAAAAAAACGGCCTCCAATTGGTTGGGAAATGACGATCGATGGCATTTATCATATAAATTTACATATAAAAAATTACAGCGATTTACATTGCTGATGCCGGTTTTTTCGATCATACGGTGACTATTTTACACAAATGAATATTACTGTTATGCTATCAAAAGTTACGTCAGTAATGCGACTACGAACTATACCCGATTTTGGCGCATTTTCCATTCCGTTCTATACCGCGTTAGAGACATGTTTACTGCTTAACTAAGCTTGTGGGCGGGGCTTAAAGACCTTATGCTCTCTACATTGTAACGTTTTTAGTTCGTTACATGTCTTTTTTATATATGATATATGATGTCTGGCGTATCGTCACCCGATTCCGTATCGTTCAGGCCTGATAATTTATTCGAAACGCTTGGCGTAATTTTAACGTTCTCTAGTCGACAACCCTGCTATCGTTTCACTGCTCTGTGGAGGCGCTGTCAATATCGCTTCAAGGTTTCGCTCTCTGCGCTGTGGACTCACTTTTGGTTTGACCGGTCAGCCATCTCAACAGTCCCGACTTAGAGAAATTGCAATTATTTAAATCTTGCTGTATAATTTGAATCGGCTGCTATTTCGAAGCTACAGGTAAAGATGAGATATTATCTTTATTAGATTCGTTATTATTATTGAATATTTTTAGGGTAGAGTTTTGGATTGGCCCACCTTAACTCGTATTTGTATTTTGCTGACACGTTGGTGTACTTTTGCTGTTGTCCTCCAGAATGTTAAATGGAAGAAAGGACAGTTCTTTTGTTTATTATTGAGCCCTCGGAAGTGTTTCGAGGTAGGTTTATTTTGTTTATTAGACCTTGTTTGGTTTTAAACAAGAGTTTCGTATTTTTAGGGTCCAAGTTACGGACATTATCTCATGGTTGGATGTCCAAGATACGGGCATTATCCAAGGTCCTAGTAGTGTTCCTATGTACGGATTTCCTATGAACAGGTGTCCCATGTACGAGATAGTTTATCTCATGTATAGATTGCTACAGTATGGATGTAGCGTAAGCTTCATGCTGCTGTTTTTAAGCCTAGTTGATAGTTACGGCTGTATTGGTTCATAGTGTCCTCATCCTGACCCCTTTTGTTGCATTGGCCGAGAGACAGTACAGAGATATGAGTCCCACCTCACGGTGTTACTGTTTGAAGCAAGATTACATAAAGAACAGCTAAGTGTAGATTTAAGTTCTAGTTTTACATTTTACATTTAAAACATTTTCAGTCTTAAAACAATAACATGCATCTTGAATAATATCATACAGACTTTACGTCTAGTGGTTAATCTTTTTATGTTAGTTTAGTATTCAAAATATGATTTAGATCTTCTAGGTTTCATTACGAACATGTGTAAAATAGTATTACATTCTGTATATATCTATTGTGTGATTTTAAAGATGGATAACCGGACATAGATTCTAGAATCTACGGCTTGCAAGATCTCAGATTTAACATCGCATAAAAGTTAACAATTTAAATAAAGTAATGCTACTTTTTTATACTTTTAATAGCTCTATCTATATTGTATTTTCCATAATCTTTCAGTGAACATTTCTACTACAACTATTTTTAACATAACTTTCTACGACATATAACCACTATAGTTGCTAGAATTCTACAATGTTAATTACCATTAAAGAACATCATGAATAAATATAGTCATTAGTTTTAAGTGATACACAACTGTGTTTTCTTTCTCTGTTCATGCCTGGCGCCCAATATCTATATTTTTTGTTTATTGTTATTAATTAGTTTTCTTTCCAGTGAAATACCTTATCCACGATTGCTCTCCGATGAAAAGCTGCCGTTCGCAGTGGTAGTTGTTAAAAAAAAACGCTATAACATGGTATATATGGTGCGTTTAGACTTGAGCACGCACGCACTGATCCTTCGCGAATGCTCAAGTGTAAACGGCAGCGCGCGCATGCTCAGTCTGAATCTGTCTGTGCGCGAGCAGCGGCGAATGCGAGCCGTCTGGTGTGGGTTTTTGGTCCGTGCTCAAAGGGATTTTATATGTGCGCGAACGCTCAATTTGCACCGGAAATTTGTTTTGTCTGCCTGCGTGCGTGCGTGTGTGTTTTTTTTCGTTTTCTTTAATTAAATTATGGAGTGGATTAACGAATCTTCGTTAATGTTAATAAAAGAATATGAAAACTTAAAAAAAATATGGGATGGGAAACATTCTGTATATTATTTGATATTATTCAAAAATCAAAAAAAAAAAAAATAATGCATGGCAAGACTTTGCAAATAAAATTAATATTGAACATATCGATATCACAGTCGATATGTTCGATAAAAAAATGAAAAGCCGTTTTCTCCATGTCATAATATTTACACAGTCTCTCCCCCACAAACGTCCCCAACTTTCAGTACATAGGCTTCTATACGAGTCTCCACTTGCCAAGAAAGGCTCGGCGTTCTCTTGGCGATATTGCTATTCTAAAATTTTTATGTTAGTAAATATTCAAAGTCGGGTCTGGTCATTCTCGTAAAGTTTTTGAACTGATTATAGCCCTCCTCAGACGCTAAGTTGTTTAATAAGTTATATCGATTTCTAAAAATTTGGGTTTGCCACAAGCTACGATTTTTTCGATTTATTTTCTTTTTATATATATAATTAAACTGTGCATAACAATGAATGCAATGAATGCCGCGGCTATCTCGTGGTCGTCCATGGTTTTCAGCAACACAACTCTGCTGTGCGCGCACAAGTGGTTCACTTCATTCGTCGAAAAATAAGTTTTTAATTTAAACGGAGTCTAGAGCGCGAATAAACGCCGTGCGCGTACGCTCAGCTCGTGCGTGCTCAAGCCTAAACGCACCTCATGAAAATACGCGCCGCGGACTGAATTATCCCCAAAAGAAAAGTCACCAATAAGAAGTTCCCATCGGAAAATATGGGACAAAATTATTTTTTTGCGATTTTTGTAGATGAATGTTGATAACGTTGATGAAAATAAAAATGATATGTTTGTATTTCAAACATTGTGTATTTGTGTATTTCAAACATTGTGTATTGTGTCAATCATATATTTTGTCTATGTTTACATTTTTATAAAAATCCTGATAAATTTCTAGGGATCCATATTATCAGCATATTTTTTTCCGCGCGAAAATTGCACTTCAATTAAAATTGGTATATTTCTCCAAAGTAGCTTTTTTGATATTAATTTTTTATTCAGTAATTAACAATCATTAAAAACGGACTTCCTCGTGTATAGTTTCTGTCGTTAATAGGAAAAATAAAAATATTGGGTAGGAAAACTAAAAATGGGATTTCATATTAACACCCTATCTTCTAAATAGATGACAAAAACCACGATTACAATATTATTTCAATGCGATCAACATGAACGGTAACCGGGACTGCGTGAAATACAGGGCTGGAAAGTTCTGATTCCTGCCGTATCGAGCGCTGCTGTCGATATTTTAAAATCCAACTGAAATTTACCAAGCCATCTTATTTTATACATTATAGGACATGCTGAAGTTATTCGTAATAAAGTATGGATAATACAAATAAACATTATTGTTGCGCTTTTTAGGCAAAGACCCTGAGATGCATTCTGTATTTCTTACCTCTTTGTTGATGATGAAGTTATATTTGCCGACGTTTTTCTCATAGCCAAATTGAAAACGCCCAGTTGTTTGCGAAAGCATTTTTTGTTCTTTAACCACATCAACGATAATCTCATGATCCTCAACTACTCGATCTAAGAATAGAAGAACTATATTAGAAACTTATTAATGAATAATTATAATAGTAGGTATATTGTTTTATTAGAAGTAAAAATGACAAATAATTTTTGTGGCGAGGCTGTACGTTCGACATTACAAGTACACAGGCACAAAAAGTACATTTTTACTCCGAATAGAACACCCTATATCTTCCAAATGTAACAGATAATTTTTTAAACATCGCAAATAATATAGAAAGAACCGTGTGATCGAAAAAAGGCGTCAAATACGGCTGTCAAGCCCTGGATGTCATTTACTGGACCCGTATTCTTCTTTATTTCTTAATGGCGCTTATTGGCAGTTGACTTTGGTTTTTGGTTTTGGAAGAAGATTGTCATTTATTTTTATATTGAGTAAAAATTATTTTTAAATGGTGTAGTTTAAAATTCCAGAATTTGTTTTAATTTTTGTATGTTTGTCTGAAGTCCTTTTTTCATCTTTCTATAATTAGTGATAAGTTTTAACAAGTTTTGTGATAATTTTTAGATATTGACCTTGCCAAACTTAGACATTGGTTTCTCCAAACTTATCATCGATTGTCTTTCCTCAGCCGTCTTTGACTCCGTTTTTTTTTCGATAATACGGTATTACCCTGTAACGAAGGGTGTCTCACTTGGGTTAAAAATGTATTGGGTGGCCAACTAAGAATGGACGCCGGCTGTATATTAGAAACTACTTATCATAGGTATAACTTAGGGAAAAAAATTCTAATAAGTAAATCGACCAAGAGAAATCGCTGTAAATTATTTTCAAATTCGACAAATGTCCGCTAGGGGGCGTATCTGTGATGGCCAATCAGAAAACGGGATTTTTCTCAAAAATATGCACGTGAAGAGGTATTTTAAATATTCTTATTGTAATCATCGAGAATTTGTAATTTTTTTTGATATGGAGCATTTTGCTCTGTCTCATAAAATAAGGTGGTGGGGGAAGGTAAAACTTGCTTTTATTAAAATAGGGATAACTTTAAAAAAAATAGGGATTTCCTTCCTTAAAGATTCCATTAAGGAAGAAAAGCTCTTTTAGACGAGCCCTAGTTTGTTTGAATCGGCTCACCCAAATCAGTAGAGTTAGAGTTATCCCTATTTTAATGAAAGCAAGTTTAACCTTCCCCCATCACCTTATTTTATGAGATAGAGCAAAATACTTCATAGCCGATTCAAACAAAGTAGTTCTTCCTTAATGGAATCATTAAGATTTCTCGATGATTACAATAGGAATATTTAAAATACCTCTTCACCTGCATATTTTTTAGATAAGCCCTGTTTTCTGATTGGCTATCAGAGAAGAGCCACCTAGCCGACGTTTTTCAAATTTGAAAATAATTTCCAGCGATTTCTCTTGGTTACTGCTTATTAATTACTTACGTTAATTACTTATTATATTTTTTTTCCAAAGTTACATGATAAGTAGTTTCTGAGATACAGCCGGTTCATTCTTAGTTGGCCACCCGGTTCATGCACAGGGTGGGTCAAACTGGACATTTTTGAAGGGAAACATCCTGTCCATCTAAAGCAGATAGGACGAAAACTAATATCGGTGTCTGGAGCTCAATTTTTATCAAAAATATTATATACAGGGTAGCGCCTCTCCTACGCCACGGAAGCTTTAAGGAGAACGGTAGTTTATATAGAAATGCGATTTTGGCAGCATATGTAGGCATATGTTGGCAGCAACTGAAAGCATTTTATAAAAATATATAGAATTATACAGGATGTCCCCAAAAAAAGTTACACATCAAAGTTGTGTTTTTTCTAACGGAACACCCTATATATTAATTGATTTTCGGATTCTAGGAAAAAAATAAAGGTTAGTTTTATTAAAGAAGCATATACCTAAAATCTAAGGATTTTGACATATTTCACATTTTGTAAAATGAAGAGTAAATTTAAAATTTCGATAACAGCTACCTAAATTTTAGTTCGCCTTGCATAGCCTGATATTTAATTACAGTAACCATTGTATGTTAAACCAAATTGAAATTTGACTCGAAAAGTTATATAATATGAGACAAAATTAATATGGAACATTAGTCACTTTTAAAAGCAAGTTACCCCTTTATTTTAAATGGAACATCCAGTATATTTTTCCGGTGTTCAATGGGGAATTCATATATCTTCAAAATATTAGTAAGGTTGCCTACCCCTCAGACAAAGATTTTCCCAAATATTTTAATTTTTATGATTTTGCGTCAGTAAATCTTTATTATTTGAAAAAATCTAGGTGGCTTGTAGAGTAAAATATCCAAGGGTAATAAAAAGATACACGTTTAAAACATATTTTAATTATTACAGAATTAAAACTAGATATAAACTTATAATTAGACGACAAAAATTAGCTAGATGACATGAAATGCTCAAAATGCTTCCTTTCCTGTTAACTGCATAAAATGATTGCCTTTTCAAAAGGATCTTTTCATTTTAAAAGGCATATGTGGAGTTCTACCTCGAAGCTACAATAATTTCTCTCATGTTGTCTCTCACAACCATAGTTGGTCGAGTTTTGTAAACACTGTTTTTAACATATCCCCATAAAAAACAGATTAGATAAAATCAGAAGCATTTAAGTACAGCCAGTCCTCGATTTACGTCGTTTCGTGTTACATCGTTTCGAGTTACGTCCATAGACAAACTAACAAAAGCAAGACTTTTCAAAGGATTGAGGAAGTCGAATTATTGTTTTTGCGCTGGCCAGTTGAGTCAGAAATCATCGCGCAGTCGCACTCGTCAAACCTAACCTAAATAAAACGAAAAACGTTTTTGCCTTGAATCATCCTTGAACGAACTGTTGAATTCCTGATTTTGCGTTTTGTTTGGTTATTACTATTATTTTATTAGCGTACAAAACGAAAACAAATAATTTAATACATTTTACATTTATGAAGAACATAATAATTACTGTGATTATACATATTATTGTGATTACATCGCTAACGAAGACAAAACGAAGGTCCTACAAATTGACTGTAAGTTATAAGAATCTTTATCTTTTTAATCTTTTTATGATTTGAATTTTCGTGCTTTATATTTTATAATAGACTCGAAATGTTAATATTTTGCAAATTCTTGTGAAAATGTGAAGTTTATGTTTTTGTTTTATATTTGAAAAAGTTGTATATTTTTAAGATGTTTCTTGTTGTTCCTATTATTAATATTATAATATACATAATTATTTTTTTGTACGTTTTGAAGAATAATGCTTTTATTTCGTTTACCATAACTGTTGTTTTTTATCATCTTTTTTGTTATTTTAATAAGAGGAATACGTTTTCGTTTATTTAACTTTTGTTTTTATATCTGTTATGTCCAGAAATTATTGTTTATTTTACCGATGGAAATAAATTTATTTGATTTTAATAAACGCTTTTTAATTAAACATCCTTGTCTAAAAGGCTACTACAAAATACACAATCCATAAGTAAACCGTCCTCGTCTAAAAGGCCAGTTGACGCAAGCGCGGTAATAAACTCTTATCAAACTTGTTACCGTTTTGCAGTACAGCGTTGACGCGTCTTGCTTTTGTTAGTTTGTCTATGGTTACGTCGAACAAATTTTTGTCACTATTCCTCAAAGTTACGTCCCACTGTTTCGAGTTACGTCATTTTTTGAAAAGAACGATCCAAATTTTAAAAGAAGTTTGGACATAAACAATAAAATTTTAGCAACATACAAGCAGGGTTAACAGATCCTCATAATGAAAAAGCGGGACAGTGTTGATCATTACTTAATTAGCAACTATTACGACTTTTGGCGACTCCCACAATAAAAGTTCCAACCAAATAATATATACTTTCTAAATATGTCTACTTTACTCTCTAGTATTACTGTAGATGCCATATTAGTATATGTGTTATATTTTCTATTATGGATAGTTAAAAATACTTTTTTGATTAGATAATGAAAAAGCCGGGACTGTAAAAATACTCGCCCTAATTTGTTTTTCATAAAAAAATACTTCTTTTATATTGTCAAGGTGTATTACTGGTTGCATAACTGCGTACTGCTGGATAGTCGCGGCGTGCATTGAGGAACCTGGCGCATTCGCCAGAAAGTAAAGAAAATTATAGAATTCTTTAGAAAAATCTAGAAACAACCGCCAGGGGGTATATAAGGCCCGCGCTTTGACAGTTGGACAAGTTTAAAAGTTTAAACGTTTGAAGTTTGAAGTCTGAAGATAGTCTGAAGTCTGAAGTTTGAAAATACCGCGAAATACCGTTAGAGTAATAGTAGTTGCATAAGTTGTGTTGTAAATATGTAGTATAAGTTGTGTGTACAGAGTGAAACGAATAAATTTGTTAAGTATTTTATCGTGAGTTTAAATAGTGGACCCACGGAATCCGTAACAATATTTTTGTTTTTTTTTTCGTCTTTTTTTTTGTTTCTTGTATTATTATAAGTTTAACTACATACACAATACACTCTTTCTCATACCTCAATTATTTAAAAATATAATTTAATGTACGGTCGAGATTACCACTATCACATAAAAAATATAATAATATTAATATATACAAACACACATCTCTTTGTTTTATTGTATTTTTATCTTACAAAAGTACCTAACTTCTCCATTTTCTATAGGATCTTATGACAAAATAAGATTCGACTTACGTCGTTTCGAGTTAAGGCGCTATTTTGAAGAACCTAACCTGCCGTAAGTACGAGGACTGCCTGTATTCTAATAATTGGTGAATGCACACTGCATATGCATTCACCAACTAATAGAATCATATCAATTCTTTCTGATGTAGGATAAGTTTGCAATTTCGGCAAATTTCTGAGAATTTTTTTTGTTTTAACTGATACAAAATGACAACTAGTTGTTAATAGTAATTAGACAGCTATGTTGAAGTAACGTCAGACATATCACAGCCACCTAGATTTATCAAATAATAAAGATCTACTCAAATCATGTAAATGAAAATATCTATGAAAATCTTTGTTTGAGGGGTAGGCAACCTTAATAATATTTTGAAAAGACATGAATTCTCCATTGAATATCGGAATAATATACTGGGTGTTCCATTTAAAATAAGAGAGTAACATGCTTTTAAAGGTGACCAATGTTCAATATTACTTTTGTCTCACCCTGTATAACTTCTTGGATCAAGTTTTAATTTGATTTAAAATACAATAGTTAATTTAACTACATATTAGGCTATACCGGGTAAATTCCAATTTAGATAGCTTTTATTGTAATTTAAAAATTGTTCTTTATTTCTAGAAAATGTTAAATATGTCAAAAACCTTACATTTTAGTCAAATACTTCTCTTAAAACTCACCTTTATTTTTCTCCTAGAATCCGAAAATCAATTAATATATAGGGTGTTCCATTACAAAAACACAACTTTGATCTGTAACTTTTTTTGGGGGCACCCTGTAGAACTCTCTATATTTTTAGAAAGTGCTCTGAATTAACCTACATAAGCTCACAAAATTTCATTTCAATACAAACTGTCGTTCTCCTTGGAGCCTCCGCGGCGTATGAGAGGCGCCACCCTGTATTATATAAAACAAAAAATATAAAAAAAATATTATTTATCAAAAAAACACCCCTTTGATTAACACTGTATAATAAGCCAAGTACTAAAGTTTACAATAAACTGAGTTTACGAATTAAAGTTGATATTATTTATATACAATTTTTTTGTATTAGTTTGTTAAAAAAATCATGAAAATTTATCCGTTGCCTTTTTTACAAAAACAAGACTTTTATAAGTCGAAAAAAGTAAGAACTTTAATCCCCTGCAGCTACGAAACAAATCAATATCGGACCTATGTTATACAGGGTGTCCCAGAAATGAGTGCAAGTATTTTAACTGATAGTATATTTCAAGCCCAGAAACACGCCTATGAGTTTTTTTTTCACGAAAAAAAAATTGAAAATTCGGAATTTTTTGAAAAAAATGTATTTTTTTTTAGTTTTTAGTTAAAAAACATAATTTCTTGATAATACGGCAACATACGTATTAGATTAAATTTATAAGAAAGAAAATCGAGAAAAGATCCAGTGGTTCTCAAAATTTTAGCAAAAAATCATTTTATTTGGAAATTTTCGTAAGTAACTCGTAACTCGTAAACGTAAAAGTAACTCCGTTATTTTGGACATATTCAAAAAACGATAAAGAGAAAATATGTTTCTTTTATCGAGATCTACCACCCCTTAAAATACTTGCACTTATTTCTGGGACACCCTGTATATAAAAAAATGAATCTTATTTTTACGTGAGAAATCTCCCCACAAGACACATAATTTTTGAAACAATTATGATTTGAGTTGAGATTGTAACTTTGATATAACAAATTTAATATAATGTGTAGGAAGTTTAAGTCATCCTGTATAGTTTAATCTGAAGTCAGTTGGAATAGATTGGGACTCGTCTTTGTCGAGATTGTCGGGACAAAGGAACTAAGAATCTCAGTCTCAGTACTTCCAATTGACTTCGGAAATACTATACACGTAGATTGGCAATATGGAATAAAACTTACGACAATTATAATTCATCCAACGTTCAACAATGCCGTATTCGTATTTGTTTGGTTTCTGCACTGTAACGGCCAATAATTCAAGGGCAAGTATACCACTAGTGTTATCGAAGACCATAATGGGCCAAAATTGGGAATGAGTTGGTTTTTCAAAGAAACACACAACAGTCTAGAAAATAAAACAGTAAATTATTAAGACCAAGACTTGCTTGGTCATGGTTTTGCAAATTTTGCACTTTTTAATGGATTTTTACTAGAAACTAAATACAAATAGAGACCAAATACTAAATAAATAATATTCTAAGTAATTTAATACAAATATTCTGCAGATAAAAGTAAATAAAAAAGTTCGTATATACCCCAGTCAAATTAGTTAAAAAAAAGGCTCAGCGCAGCGGTGGGAAAAAATCCCACAGTTTTGAAAATGGTTTTAAACGATTCCTCTAGACTTGGGCTAATAAATATACACGAGGAGTGGGGAGGAGTTAAATGTCAATTTTTTCAGTTTTTTGCTGATATCTCAGAAACTATGACATCTACCGAAAAACGCTCTATATATAAAATAAAGCTGACTAAATATTCTCTATAAAAATGATATATTTTTGTTCCCGAACTTATGGTTTCCGAACTATGCCCTTCATAAATTTCGATACTAAATCAAATGGCATATTCCAAATCCGTACAAATATAATGTCTTTTCATTGCACGTTTTTCGTTCAAATAGCGTTAAAGAAGTACGATATCCCCCCCCCCATGATTTTTTAAGTATTTAGTATAACTTTTGGTATATACTATGATTTTATAAATTTTAGACTTGATGCGTTCACATAAATCACTTCTTGACTGCGCAAGTTATTTGTTAACATGGATAATGTTTTCTGTTCATTTATTTTACTTTATATTTTGTGTAATTAAAAGAATCAAAACAGACAATATGTACAGAATATATTAAGGAAACAAAATAAATATTAATGCAATTCTGGATTTTTTTTTGTTAGAACCATTTTCCCCTATCTGCTGAAATAAAGTGGTGAGGAAGGTTAGATCTGTCTTTATTTAAATGTTAATAACTCCAGACTCTCTCTGAATGATCAGAATCCAACAAGCGAGGGCTCGTTTAAAAGAGCGTTTCTTACTCTATATTATACCATAAAAATAATAATAATAAAGTTTGAACGTAGATGCAAGTGGGCACTGTTTTACAACTTAACCAACAAAGCGAGTTTTTTCAAAAAAATTAAATACGATAGTATATGTAATTTTAGCCAGTGGCGGATACAGAGGAGAGGCCCATGGGGCCAGGGCCCCCCCTAAAATCTGTAAATTTGTGTTAAATATTAGGCTTTTAGGTTAAAAATGGCGCACTAAAAGCATATTCTACATTACTTTTTATTTTGGGCCCCCCCTAAAATAAATTCCTGTATCCGCCCCTGATTTTAGCTGATAGTAAAGAGCAATAAAAGCGAAAACCACATCTTGATATCTTTTTTCAAACCGAAGATATTAGCAAAATTATATAATAAATACCAAAAAATAAACCCTTAATTACCTTATTTTTACAATACGGTATCAGTAGCCCTCTTGATTATGCCCATTCTAACAAAAAAATAAGATAGAAACAGTTAGTTTATTTTAAAATCGACGAAATACCAGAATATTATATACTAGATGTTTTAATATCTAATAATTAATATATTAATAACAGTGAACAAAAAACCGATGATTCAGTGAAGTCATGGTAGGCTTTGGAAGGTCAAATTGTTATTAGATCAACATTTTAGTCTTTATTATTTCAAGTAGTTGAAATTGTTGGCATTTTGAAAAAGCAATCAAAAGATAAAAAACGCTGGCTCAGACTATGAAAATGTTGATCTAATAAGAATTTGACGTTTATACTATTACCTTAAAAGCAACTTTTTTTCAAAGCCTGCCATGACTTCACTGAATCATCGTTCTTTGTTCACTCTTATTAATATCTTAATTATTAGATATTAATACATCTAGTATTAATTATGGTATTCTGGAATTTCGCCGATTTTAAAATAAACTAACTGTTTCTATCTTATTTTTTGTTAGAATGAGCATAATCAAAAGGACTACTGATACCGTGTTGTAAAAATAAGGTAATTACGGTTTTATTTTTGGGTATGTATTATAATTTTTTTTTTACTAATATCTTCGTTTTTAAAGAAGATATCAAGATGCGGTTTTCGTTGAGTTTTTAAGCTTTTACTACTCTTTACTGTCAGCTAAAATTACATATACCATTGTATTTAATTTTTTTTGAAAAAACGCGCTATGTTTGTTAAATTGTAAGAAAGCGCCCCCTAGCGTCTACGTTAAAAACCTTATTATTATTATTTTTATGGTGTAATATAGAGTAAGAAACGCTCTTTTTTTAGAGCCCTCGTTTGTTGGATTCTGATCATCTAGTCCGGAGTTATTAACATTTAAATAAAGACAGATCTGTCTTTATTTAAGAAAGGAAGAACGATTGGAATACGTAGCGGAATTCAATTACCTCGGCAGTTTGATTTCAGAAAAGGCCAATATCGACTCTGAAACTCAGCACAGAATTAGCAGCGCCTCAAGAGCATTCTGGAAATTAAAAGACAGGGTTTTCTACAATCATTATTTGAGCACAAAAACAAAACTTGCAGTGTACCGAGCAATAATAATCCCCACCATGTTATATGGAAGCGAAACCTGGGTGCCGTACCGCCGATACACGAGCGCATTAAACAAGTTGCAACAGAGACACCTTAGACAACTGTTAAGAATCAAATGGTACCACCATGTCTCAAACGTATCAGTTCTTGAAAAAGCAAGCTGCGAGAGCGCTGAAGTCATGATTAAATCCCGCTTAAGATGGGCTGGCCACGTATGCAGGATGCAAAAAACCGTCTACCGAAATCTCTTCTTTACGATGAACTTGTAGAGGGTAAGAGGAAACCGGGTGGACAACTCAAAAGATACAAGGATGTTTTTCATGAAAACTTAAAGGGGATAAGTATGCAGCATCAGTGGGAGCAAGCAGCGCACAATAGAACGCAATGGAGGAGAATTGTAAACTCAGTTAAGAACGACAACCAAAGAGTAAAAGGCAACAAAGTAATGAGATTTTTAAATGTCCGGAGTGCGGAAGAGAGATAACATCACGTATCGGGCTTTTCAGTCACAGAATAGCTCATGAAAGAAAACGCTTTGCGTAACCATCTTCTGATGCATGTCAAATACTCGTCAGCGAGTAATGGCAGTAAGTAAGTAGTAGTCATCATGTTATCAATTTTCATCCAAATATCGACTTTAGTTTAGAAAATATTTGAAAAAAAAAACTTAAATAGAAATGACATTTATACACCTTGTATCTCGAAAAAGAGGCCTTTTGGGACATACATTTATACGAACTTTCTATTTATTCTTATCTGCAGAATATGTTTCCCGATTACAATATTGAATCAGCATTACTTTTTTATTTTTTTGTAAAAGTGGTGGAAACACTATTTGCAATAGATTAAAAACAATAATGTTGCGAGTTTTCAATAAAATGGCAACGAAGAGAGCATCAAAATCTCAGCCAGATATGTATAGAAAACTCTAATATAGTTTGAAAAACGCATAAATCTGCTTTTATTTTATTTAAAAAATAGAGGGTTGAATATTTGAAATAAAGAAAAAAAATTTTACATTCAGATTGTTGTCCAGGCCAAAACAGGAATGCGATCATGGCATACATGCTCTAGGAAGCAGTTCAAACCCTAAGGAATATTGAAATTATAGACATGAAACTTCTCGAGCCGGGACACATGCAATGTGATTCCATGCATGCTACAATCGAACATGCAGCGGAATATACCAAAATATATTGGCCTAATGATCGGGTGAACATCATTAAGTTGGCAACTAAAAAGAAGCCTTATAAAGTGAAGACACTTGATCATACTTCATTCAAAGATTGCAAAGAATTGCAGCAGAGAACAATGATTAAAAAATCTCAGAACCCTACAGAAAATACTTTCTACAGAAAATACTTCTAGAGGTCATAAAACAAAAAACACAACCATGAATGTTCCAACAATCCTATATTCTGAAAAACTTCCTATAAGCAAGTTAAAGTATGAAAATTTATTGTCTATGTGTCAGGGCAAAGATGTTATAAACCACTCGGAGTACAAGAATTTCTATTCTTCTCTACCAGTAATAAATGCCCCGCATGCTCGACCCTATGGTATTGAAGAATCTGACGACGAGATGTCTCTACACCAAGTAAGAGAACTAAATCATAAAGAGGAAAAGACGAAGAAATTAACTTAAGAAATAAAAATATTTGTTAGTTTTTGAATAAAGCGTTAAGCTTTTGGTATATACGCCTTTTTTATTTAAACCCGAATGACGCAAATTGTCTCGTATACCCTAATATCAGAAGGGCGTAACAACCAAATATGACAGTTAATACCGATTTTCACTATCGAGCAATTGCCTATCAAATTGTAATATTTTTATCCTACCACAGGGAATAAGTCAACAATTTTCGTAAAAATTTTGATTTTTAAACGTTTTTTACGCCTCCTGTAAAGTTAACTTTTTGGTTCATGCGCCCTTCTGATATGACGCCCTCGATATTTAAATATTTATAAAAATATCAAAAACGAAAGGGGTCAAACATATTTAACCCTTATAATAAATGCTTTATTTTATGTCCAAGGATCCAAAAAATGGATTAAAATACAGGGCGGGGTTCCACAAAAAAATATAACTTTGGTATGGATCTTAGTTCTGAAACACCCTGTAATTTCAAAATAATTTTAAATTTTGCACATTGCCTCTCCACATATACCCATAGAAAATTTTGTTTTTACATCCTTCCGTTTTTGTATAATCAACCGAATCAGTGCGTTACCCTGTATAACAAATATTTAAAATTTAAAACTCGCCATTCTAAAATGTAAAAGTAAAATAAAAATATCGCACTTACCATGTTACGCTCAAACATATCTCTGAATTCGTCTTCTAATTTCGCAAGTTTTTTGGGGGCACAAACGTGACACATTTTGTGGATGCCGCCCCCTCGAATCTCTCGGACTAAAAATTAATTATTAAATTACAAGATCAAATTTGGTATACGATATTCACGAATATCAGCGGGCTAACCAACCGAATGTTCGTGAAACTCGAATACAGAGCATAATAGAATTGACACGAGTATTAGACAACATCGAGAGAAGTAGAGATTTTTTTAACTAATTAGAGACAGATGAAATTAGGTAATGCCATAGTTAGGGATAAAAGTTAAACTACCATGTATGGGAGGGGTGTTAATCATGTGTCCCCCTTTCTTACCCTTTAATCATACAGTCTCAGGACCCTGACAAAAGCCAGTATCTGAGACGAGTTTATAGAGGCTGGTTCTCCGTCTCCGATATCCGATGATAGTCTAACAACGTTTTCGAGAAAGCATTTTAAGAAAACTGGCTCTTTGATATATCTTTTACTATGCCCTCTGGAACAGCATGCGGCCCGTCTGGCTGCATAATTCTGGTGATTCAAAAAAAAAACAAATATTTAATACTTTATTATCAGAATATAAACGAAAATAAAATAATAAAGTTTTTGCCCTGGCCCGGATTCGAACTCTGACTCCTCGCTTGATAGGAGGAATCTCTACGCGCTGAGCTATGGAGACTCGGTCGGTTTATATTCAATACTAGAATTTAAAGGGCTAATAAAAATATAGGATCTTCTTTCAATGTGCAGTAGGGAATGCAAGGTTTACCGGCAGCCAGACGGGCCACATGCTGTTCCAGAGAGCATAGTAAACGATATATTAAAGAACCATGAGTGGAATTAAGTATATAAGAAATGATATATAAAAGAACCAGGGGACTAATCCTAATTAGTAACAGAGTTCCAGCCCAGCTTTCTTAAAATACTTGTTTTCCCGACGTTGTAGCTCTCGTACTATGAGGTGTTCTGGTGTTTCACCATTTTCCCGACAGACTCTGAAATCGCCGTTTTTTCTTAGCTTCAATCTACGGAGATGTTCGTTGAGGAGGCAGTGTCCTGTTAAAAACCCTGTGACAATCCGTAGATTGTTCTTAGTTAAATCAAGGAAAATCTTTGATTTTTCTCGGTCGTAAGTTATGGGAAATTTCTTCGAGTGTCTTAGACCGTCGGAGAATTACCGTTCCAGCTTACGGATGGAGTCTTCCAGGTTCTCGACTTCCGCTTTAAGTTGGTTTCCACTCGAGAAGCAGAACGGTTCTGGGTCCGTTAAAGAACGGTTACGCTTTCAAAGCGGTAAGCGAAAGTATTCGATTAGTGGAACGCCAACCAGTCGATTTTGGTATTCTCGTTGCCGTGCGAATCGTTTTCTGGATACGCTGGGATACGCCTTGAGCACATATTGGCAGCATCGCAATTTCTCAGGTATCTAATAGTTTACTAATAGTCAAATAGATAAAACGATGAAAAATGTCAATGTTACGTGAATTTCATAACCTATTGCTGAGTTATGTCAACCCGTTTTTCTATGGAATGGATATGTCGGTTGTTATATGAGGGAACTATTGAAGACGCTTCTCAGCATTTTCGATGTTTTAAACAATATTGATAGCTGCCAAGTCGTAAATTATCAGTTACTTATTGAGGAATTTATAGAAGAAGAAATAGTTTTCATTATTATTTTTTTCTATTTTTACTGACAGTTCGACAAGCAAAACGATCCTTTAAGGTAGCCGTTTTCAAATCCCTTAGCGCAATCAGTAAAGACGTTAAGCGCTTCAGATGAGAATGCCCAAATCAGTAGTCAAATGTGAGCTCAGCGAAAATTAACGTCATATACGCTGAGCGTCTAAAAGTGCTTAGCCTTTTCTAAGTTATAGAATTCGGGCCCTGGTCCAGTTAGTGGAGCGTTCCGATCAATTCAGTAACCATCAATTCGAAGTTGGTTAGGTCAAAGAATGCCTAGAGAAGCTAAATAAATTAGGCAAAGAAATTAAAGTCCTCATACTCTGGGTGCCTGCTCACCAAGGGGTAATGAAAAAGCAAATGATCTAGCTAGAAAAGAAGCGAACACTCCAAAATTATTGGACCAGAACCGCTCTTTTTCCAAGCGGGAACCAACTGAAAGCGGAACTAAAGAATCTGGAAGACTCCATCCGTAACCTGGTGTTCTCCAACGGTCTAAGACACTCTAAAAAGTTATTCAGAACTTACGACCGAGAAAAATCAAAGATTTTCCGTGATTTAAGTAAAAACAATCTTCGGATTGTCACGGGGTTTCTAACAGAACACTGTCTCCTCAACGAACACCTCAGTAAGCAGAAGCTGAGAGACTACGGCAAATGCAGATTCTGTGGGAAAAATGGAAAAGCACCAGAACACCTTATCACTGAGTGCACCGGGACGACGCGCGACGACCGTTCGTGCCATGAACTTTGGTACGGCTGATGTCGAAGATGGAGAGCTAGCCTCCTGGCTTTTGTTAAAGCCCTGAGACTGTATGATGAGTTATAACTCGTTAAAACTCAAGAAAGGGGTAAACAGAACACACAATAGATCTGTAAGGTCGCGGTGATTAACTCCCCTCCTAAACATTCTACATTCTAGTGGAGCGTTCGCTCCTTTTCTAGCTAGATCGTTTACTTTTTGTGTTGCATTTCATGCATTGATGCATATCCCTTGGTAGGCTGGCACCCAGATATTTGTTCAGTTTTCTTGGCATTCTTTGACCAACTTGAATTGATTCATTGATCGTTTTTAACGCTACTTGACTATCAGATAAGATGACTATTTGATGTTTCCCATAGTTCCTATCTAAGATAAGTTGTACCAAGTTGTACGCATCTTTGGATGGCGTAGATTTTTGCCTAAAGGATACTGAGGTAGGTGCACATTGGTTAAAACTATTATAAAGGTAAGTGTATAGCATCATAGTTGCATGACTTGGTTAACCTGTGTTTTAGTTTCACATTTTTTATTTACCAGCATAAAATAGTTTCTATAATTTTGCCTATATTTCGATTATTTTGATCAGTCCCAGTTTCTGTATATTAAGGCTTACTTATTGGTGCAAGAATATTTGATATTTCGACTACATCTATTTATTATGTTTCAAAGCCTTAAAATGCTTAGACTCATACATATTGGCATTCTTTGATGCTTTGAAGTTTTTATCGCGAAATTTTAAATTAATGTACTAACCAGCTAAACCAAGTGATGCAACTATGACGATATACATTTTTTTTTGCTTATAGTCAAGCAAAAACTAACTGCGATACCTAATTTCACCTATCACTAACATTAAAAAAAACATTTAATTTAATGCAGAGATTTTGCAGACAATGTAAAATGCTGTCAGTCCGCCGGGACAAAACTTCAGCTGGCATTCGTTTAAGTTTTTGATTCATTTTCTCTCTCTTGGATATTAAAAATTAAAACTAATGTTAGACATCCCGCAGACTTATGACTTTTTACCACTTGATAGTTGATTGTTGTAGGCATATACTTACTCATGCAAATACCTGAAACAAAAGAAAACATATTATAGAAGTAAACAAGTACATCCAAAACTTAAGGATAGTATGTTTGAGCTTTAGTGGGACTTTAGTTAGCTATGGAAAATGAAATAGTGATAAATGAAAAAGTGAAAAAAATGCAAGACCGCAAAAGTCTTGGTCTCTTGGTCTTGCATAAGTCTTCTTATAGCGGCAACATAGATAGATTATCTGTGAAAATTTCAACTGTCTAGCTATAACGGTTTATAAGCTAGACCTTTGTGACAGAGGAACGGACGGACGGACAGCGAAGTCTTAGTAATAGCCTTGATTATGTATAAATAGATGTACAATGAGGGCTTAGTACAAGCCCGTCTTCTAGGTGGCGCCTTGCCCGTTCTGAATTTTTGTATTCCCCTACGATTTTCTTTGAGGGGAATCCGTTAAACCCGCCCATCGTTCAAAAATGGAAGGGCGCGAGGTCACATCTATTGGGCCACTTATTAGCACGTTTCACGCATGTTTTACGAAAATAGCTTTCCTTGTTTGTTTCAACTGTGACAAGAAAAAAGGAAAAAAAGTCATATTCGTTTCTAAATTCGGCAGTTTTGTTTATCTTTCTCGACTTCTGATTTCGTTTCGTTTAGGTTATGTCTTAAAAAATAATTATTTATAAGCTGTTGAGTTGAAATATACCTTAATGCATATCTAAATAATTAAAAAAATCAATTTTTTCGTCCCCCACGAAGAAACGAAACAGTATTTTTGAATATTTGGATTACAAACTATTATTTTATGAGTTTTATGTGTTGTGTTTACGTGATGTGTAATGTGTATTTTGTACCTGCTGGATAATATTTTGAAATATATTTAATTAAACAAAAAGCATCTGTATTACAGGTGAGTAAATACTGTTCATATTTATTTCTAAATTCATATAAATTTGTTTTAAATCACTCTTGGTTTTTAGAGTTTTTATCTTAGAGTTTTACCTCATAGAGAGTTGAGATAAGTTTAATAATAAACATTAAATTTGATAGATTGATAGATAGATTAAACGATAATGGCCAGTTGACTTAAAAATTTAAAAAATACTGATTTTATGCTATAAATTATGTTTCATTTCTTACTTTGCTTTTTTGGAACTGTCAGATATATTGTGTATTTTATAATTTTTCTTAATTAATAACGTAAAATATTGTTTATCTACACTCAACCCTGTGTTTAGATAAAGCTTCATATCAGATTTCCTATTTTATATTTTCACTCAAATCATATTTTTGTAAAATAGGTATGCTTGCATGCAAAAGTAGCGTAAATTTGACAGGGAGGTATTTTTATAGATATACAGGATGATTCGTAGATTTAAATACATATTTACTTTAGAGTTGTATAGTTTGTCAAAAGAAAAGCTATATTTTTTATTTTTTCTTGGTGAATTTGTCAAAAAATTGTCATTCCAGAAAATACTATAATGTCGTAATCGTATAGAGTTCATTTTGACCATTTTTGGATTAAATTTTTTTGTTTATATAATAAAATATATATTTAAAGCCCTTTCTAAGTTAAAAATAAGTAATATGGAAGTTTTTTACTGGAACTAATTTAAGGTAATGTTCTCTTCATATAATTATATAAAAATATGCTAAATTCCTAAATTATTTATATGATTAAATTTTCTTTATATTATTTTTTTTGTATTATATACAGGATGAGTCAAAACTATATATTATATTTTTCTTTGCTATTTCAAATGGAACACTGTATTTTATATCATAAATCAACAAATCTTTTATCCAACTTTTGTTTTGTTAAGATCTATATCCCAGATTAATAGTTATTGGATTGTTCTCAATAATTGTCTCTTTGAGAATAAACATGATTTGTTTTTCGCAATTTTTATTAGTAGGTTTGTCGTTAAAAGTGATGTATCTACATATTTATCAGCGACAAAAATTAAGAATTAGATGTCTAAAATAATTTCCTAATTATTTTTTTACTTAGCGTATCAGTAAATATTATTTATTTTATCGCTGCAGCTGAAAATAATTATGTATTCCAAAACAGGACATTACTGTATAAATATCGATTATTTGGATTTAAAAATTATTTTTCAAAACAAAGTTGGAAAAAACTACGTTTATGTCATAAAATGTGGAGTTCTCTTTGAAATAATCGAGAAAAACCCAACATCTAGTTTTGACGCCACCAGTATATATCATGCATTATAGTTCATTATACTGCAATTTATTATACATACGTAGTTTTGTTTGGTGAAAATGAAACTTTCTAAAAGTATTCCCAATTAAAACATATTAAGAATTTCCTACATTATAATTTTGAAAGACGTTTGAGTGGGCAGACAATTTGGTCTAAAATAATCATATGTCTAAAAAATTTAGTCTAAAATAATCAAAAACCACTTAACACATATAACTCGCTTTTAAAAAATCTAAAAGAAATAAGTTTGTTTATTATATTCATATTTTATTAAATTATTATAGGTGTGACTGCTAAGTGGTCGTACTCGCCACTTTAACCAACCATTGGTGGGACCATGGTAGGACCTTCAGAGATTATATGCGAATTTTTCATACCATGTAAATCTATATACATATATTAATAAATGCGTTTGTTTTATTAAATTTGTTTTCTTATACGGTATGAGCGAAAAAAACGGCGTCTATTTGTTTACGTACAAATATATGACATCGATATTCATTTCCAAGCCACCTCTGACGCCGTTTTTTTTATCGTATGGTATACACTTACATATCCCTTATCCTTTAAATCCGATTTATTTCTAATAATTTATAAAATAAGATACCTGATTGATTCTTCCGAAATATTATAAAATGAGATATCAGGGAAATAAATAGAGTTACTTATCTCGTTTGTTTTGGGAATTCAAAAAAAGGGTATAGAGAATCTTAAGAGACACAGTTCAAATATTATTTTGAGTATAATGGGTGCTTCAAAAATGTGGCGGATATAATGAAACATGTTTTTAATGCAAAACTCTTATTTATAACTTTTGTTTTATTTTCGATTCTGCCTAAAATTCTATAACTTTTTTTTATAAATAACATTAGTATTTGCAAAAAAAATAATTCCTATGTTACATAATTGTCAGTTGTTTCCGAAGTTGGGCTATACAAATTTGGTAGGAGTGTTTTACAGAGGTGAAGAAAAAGATATATGTAAAAATACTTGGAGTTAGATGCTACACTGTGTTCAAACAGTTTTTTTTGGCTGATCCTATATATTATTATTTTTTCTAGTGCTTTTACAAAACCTTTCAACACTTGTTAAGAAAGTATATTAAGTACATCTATACTCTATACAGCTTGCAACCTGTTCTGAATTTTTCAATTTTTATCCTTCTTTTACTTCATTTACACTATAACAAGTTTTGCCATGACAAAACAAAAATTATTTATTATTAAGCATTAAAGTAATTTATATAGTTATATGACATTATTAATAGAAATTGAAGAATTTTGTAAAATCTATCAGAAAAAAATATAATATACCGGGTGTTTTTCAAAAGTGGCTTGATTGACGTATTCAATTAGTTTCGGTTATTTCTTGTTTCACCGGAAATGACTACAACTTGGTTTTTAAATGGTACCGTCGGTATTTTTTTACTTTATTTGACAGAATATGGCATTGTGAATAGAATAATTTAATGTCAACTTTTGACATATTTACTTAAAAAATTGTATTTTAAATTACAATCTAGAGTGCCATGATAAAAAACAACATGTAACCGGTCGTAAAGGTAACGACAGTTTGACTCGATATACGAAGTGTGTGGTACCAAATTACCTATTTACCAGGTACCAAAAAGGAAAAGACACAAAAAATATTAGACGATCAAATCAATTTTTCCGAAGCTCCTTGATTAAAAATTAATGGTTTTAACACAGCCATGACACTAGATTGAATTTTAAAATGCTATTTTTTTTAATTGAAAATGTCAAAAGTTGACATATGATATATGTCATTCTATTCAGAATGTCATTTTCTATCAAATAAAGTATAAAAAATACTGAGGGTACCATTTAAAAATCAAATGTTGTACTCGTATACATTTCCGGTGAAACAGGAAGTGACCGAAACTAACGGAATACGAATCAATCTCGATTTATGTTATATACCTACTAACATTCCGAATTTGGTAAACCCCGAATTTAATTTTTTTATCTGAAAAAATAAAAAAGTTATAGAGGTGAACCGCTTTTGAAAAAACACTCAGTATAGGCTGCGTCATTGAAAGAATCTGCAGATATTTTTCTATTTTAAATACGTAGTCGAATTTCAAAAATATATATTGAACACCCTGTAGCTCTACCTTAAATATTACATATAAATATCTAATATTTTTCTTCATCAACAAATTGAAATATTATAAAACTAGTTTTAGGTTACACCATTATACAAGAAATATACGTAAAAAAAGTAATAGAATTTTACGCAGAATCTAAAATAAAATAGGATGTTACATTTAAAAAAAAAACATTATGTTAAATCCGCCACACTTTTTACAAAGTTACAGACGTAGGTAGGTATAGTTTCATATTATATTCTTTAATTATCCATCTAAATCAAAATCTTTAATTATCCATCAAAATAAAATATTTATATACCTAATATAATACTTTAGTATCCAAACAAGTGGCCATGAAAATCAAAATAAATATAAATCCATGTCCAAAAATAAAAATGTAAATAACGCTTTGAGGTATAAATTCGGTTCGAATCAGATAAGATATTTTTATTCTTTACCGAGAATTAAATTCGAAGAATTCCTAGTCCCTACTTCTTTGCCAAATTCAATAGTCTCCGCCCCTTTTTACGTTTTAATTTCTGCCACCAGTTGGCAGCATCGACTTATACAGGCTCATTGACTAACTATTAATATATAAACAAGGGTAATAGGGTTCCCGTTTTTACCCTTTCGGTACGGAACCCTAAAAAGAAGAAAATGTAAGATGGGCCTGTAAAAGTAGTTTTATTATTCAAAT